CATAATCCTTCATTCTTGAAAAATATTATACTCACTTACTTACTTTAATAATATCATTGTGTGATTCTTAATTGCTAATGTGTGTCTATATTTACTGGCTTTCAGGTCTTTGCGAAGCTTCGGAAAATTCTTCATTAAGAAGATTTGTTGCAGTGTTGTTAGTTACACTCTCTGTGCACCAACAGTATGACCTTCAACTTCTGTTGAACTGAGAACATCCTGATACGTCCTCCCTAACCTCCAGAATGTTCCTTTCATTATGTATCAACAAGCTTGACCCTCCCTTTTCTCCTCTCTCTTTGTTAAAATATGCAACCCAAACTCTACTCTTCGTCTTTCACTCTGCAGACTGTATGCTCTCTGTATGACTGACTGAACGTTCTTGCAAGAAATCAAATACCTCAAAGACAGCTGAATGGTTTGATTCTTTATCCACATTTGATAAAGTAAAATCCCACCACACAGGTAACAGCCATACACAAAATAAGCTTGATGGAGGTTTACAACACACCTGACTGGGTACAAAATGTACTTTTTTTGTCCAATGGCTTGTTCAAATTCTACCAACCACTCAATATACTGCCATTGTTATTTTTGTTGGGCTAAAACAAATCTACTAGCCACTTGCATATTCTACCAGCATCTAGCTTGTTAACGATGCCCGACACATGCCTATATGAACGCAATATTATTATCTGGTCTGATATTCAAATCAGTGAGGTGTTCACTCCTGGACATTCAGTTGGTCTCAAAGAGATGAAGCATCATGGGAAAAGGCCTGGACCCTCAGCTGGGTCCGGCTCTTTCACACCTGATAATCCGTTAAGCTGCAGAGGAGCTGCTGGACTTCAGGGCTGAGTGTTGCTGTTGTTCCTCACAGCTCCATGTATCGATCTTTGTACCGACCGGAGCCGACCCTGCCACGCTCCACCAGCTATCCGTCCAAGCAACACTAACAATTACACAACGATTACGTCCCCGGCTGCTCCTGCAGAGCGGGGGGGCGACCGCCTCAGGCTCTGACGGGATGCAGAGTTACCCTGTCGCTGTGCTCAGTCCTACACAGTATACAAACCACATATTCTCCTACTGTACGCATAGTTTTTCTATTGTAGTATGTTATTATACATTGTCAGAATACCGTTTTTGGGAGTCTCACTTGATGACCTGCCTTAAAATCATCGAGCTTTGAGTCTGTCCTACAGTATTCGTTTTTTTGTTGTTTGTTTAATTAAAATACAGAAAAGAAGACTGTGTAATAACACATGATTTATTACATTTGTATAAATAACATTAAAGGTGGGGTAGGTAAGTTTGAGAAACCGGCTCGAGAGACACTTTTTGTTATATTCCATGGAATGCTCTTAACATCCCGATAGCAATGAATATCTGAAGTGCTTTGACAAAAAATCCATAAAAAAAATTCATCTGTGGAAGCCGTAGTACTGTAAAAAGCATGACCAATCATTTTAGCCGGCCCGGCTAAAATAACTGGATGGCCTACCTGCCTGTCAGCCTTCCATCTGTGCACAAACTTATCTCGTGCCCTCATTGGTCCTGTGCGCGTTCGTGTGTGTTGGAGGAGGGGCTCTATAAGGAAGTGGCAGATTTTCTCCGGTTGTGTATTTTCAAATTCTAGCGATCTCGAGCCGGTTTCTAAAACTTACCTACCCTACCTTTAAGAGATGCCTATCCAAAAACAGTTAAGCTGGAATCTGATCAGACTCAAAGGAATTTCTGTGATTCATCTTTTTGCCCCTTTCATTTAGCCTTCAAGCGATCATTTCAAGCTTTTCTTCCTAGAGTCAAAGCACATTTAATTACAAACATGTTCAGAAGTAGCCTGGTTCTGGGCCCTCCTCATGGACTTGTAGATTAAGATGCATAATGAATAGCCGCCTTATTCCTTGTTCAAACCAGGCCAGGGACCTCAGTCGCATCTCATACCTGTTCTCCTCAGCTTTACTATCAAATGGCAAAAATGCCCTAAAGTCATTCGTAAACTAAACAGGAATCCAGGTGTATTAAACTGCTGTTTACTTCTGGACCTTTATTTTTGCTGTGTTCGTCAGAGTAAAGCCCCATATTCCCTGTTCCATTGTGAATGTAATTATTCACTTTTGACACCTGGTGTGCTGACAAGGCAGAAATTAAACAACAGAAGTCCATCAGCAACAGAGTTAGCTTATCGCAGAAAGCAGAGTAATTGTCCTGTCGCTCTATACAGAAACCCGCTGACAGCCACAAGAAGTGTGTGTGACTTTTCAGTCGGCACACACTGAATGTCAGGTCAAAATCTGAAAAAAATACATTATGTTCTTGTAATTTATCAAATAAAAGCACATTATGGGAACCTTATAAGTGACAAAACATCCACATAAGCGTACAGCATGAAGTATAGCCAGAGGTGTAATGCAGTGAAGTACATTTACTCAAGTATGATTTTAGGGCACTTGTACTTTACTTGAGTATTTTTATTGTATGCTTCTTCATACAGTACATCTACTCCACTACAATTTGGAAGCCAATATTGTACTTTTTACCCCACTAAATGACATACAAAGATAGTTACTATTTACTTTACAAATGATTAGCTAATACGATACAGTATATAAGTAAACTAATAAAACAACTATGCTATACAATTATAGGTTAAGATGTCCAGCGGTAGTATATAAAGTCATTAAAAGTACCCCCACCTTGACCAGCCGTGATGAACACAATAATACAGCAATAATTAAAGATTCTAAAATGGAACAAGTACTCTTAATTTTGGTACTTGATGCCTATACTTTAAATGCATGACTTTTACTTGTAACAGAGTACTTTTACACTTTTGTATTTCTACTTGTATCTATATCCTAGTACTTCCTCCACCTCTGAGTATATCACATACAGGCTTGTAACTCCCTATCACTTTCCTTCACTCTCTCTGCCTGTCATTGGCTGAGGAGCAGCCGATTGACAGCCATCACAGCAGCTAACATCAGCATGGCCTGTAAAGGTTGCGTCCACCATGTGTCACCAGAACACCTACAGACTAGAACTGTCTCCTCACGCCTCCGCTCAATCAGCTACCTGAGCGGAGAGAAATATGTTTCACTCAACCCTCTCAAATGCCCTAGATACTGTAAACAAATATTATGTAATACTGAAAAAAGTGCAGCAACTAATGAAAGAGATTTATGCAGTCAGAAGTTGAGAAAGCACTTTGGTTATAAAATAAATAAGTAAAGCACTGTGGTTTCTCCTAGTTATGTTTGCGTTATTTGGAACTCTGTCTATTTTTGCAGCTTTATCTTGGATGCGTGTTACAATCTGGGACACGGTCGCTATGACTTTTCAAAAGAACACACCAAAAACAGCAAAAGAAAAAAGAAAAATGGAAATCCAGGCAAAGTGCTGCAGGGTATTGACGAATTCAGAAACAACCGTACACTAAGAGTATGTCAAACATGATGATTCAGGGGATTCTATACTTTTAGTAAATCCTTAACACTGCGCTTTAAGAAGAAAATGTACTAACGTCCCTTATCTGACCATTTTAGCATTTTGTCAGACCACATGATTTTTTGTGAATACTCGATCCCTTTTATTTTATTAGGTGTTTTTGTTGGCTAATTATCTGTATTTTTACCATGGTTGAGGCCAGACTAACACATCAGCTCTCCTTTATACTGCGGTACAAATGTTGCTGTATTTTCAGCTTCCAAAACCATGGTAACACTGCAGTTGGGACTGGTTCTGCTGATGAGTCCATGTGTTTGCTGCAGTTGTAACCTTTGCCACCTCCGTTTCTCTCGCTGCTTAGAGCCTGGCAGACTGGCATCCAAACTGTGTGTGCCCAGTCAGGGGTCCCATTGCATTCAGCTCAGCACGTCCTATCCTATCAGCAGTGTCACGGATTACCCGGCGCACTGAAGCTCAAATCCCTTCAGGAGGAGGGAGAGCCAGAGAGAGCTACAGCGCAGAGTCAGCGTGAGGTCACTTAAGTCTGCCGCGGTGAACATAATTCTGACTTTGCTGAAATAAAGACCCAGCGAATGATGAGAAACTAATGTTTTCTCAAGAGTGTGCCACTACTGATCTGAAGACAATTGGATAATATTTCTTTGCAGAGGCTTTTGTAACGATAAATGTTGGTCATTTATGTTGGATAAATGTTGAAATCTATACATCTTTGCTGAAAGCAGCTTCCTGCTGTTGCTTAAGGTGATGTCATTAATAGCGCAAAGGCTGGACCTAATGTGCTGTAATTGAACAATTAGCTGAAAGAGGTTAAAAGGCTCCGTGGAACCCCTTGCAATGTACAAACACTGCCAACAAGGTTATCATCTTTCAAAAGGTTCATTTGTTTCCTTTTTGGGGTTTTCTCTTTCCTGTAGTGTGTTATATAGGTTTTGGTGCATGTAAATGGTCTGCAAAGGCTAAAGTCCCTGTGTTCCCTCCAGAGGGAGTTTCTCTCCCACAGACTCCGACATTGGACTCCTTTGTTTACTTCTGTTACAAAGTGACATCACTATGTAACACTTGCGCTTCCATTGGCTAGTCCGATCACATTTTATGTGATAATCTCTAAGAGGTTGACCAATCACAACAGAGCCAACCTGCTAACCAATCAGAGCAGACTGGGCTCTGGTTTCAGACAGAGGGTGAAAAGAGGTGCTGCAGCACAGGCAGTATGAGAGAAATAAAGAGCTTTTTGAACATTAAAGCATGGAGACATGTCACAGTGGAGGCACTACATACAATTATAAACCTGAAAATGAGAACAATAGGTCCTCTTGAAATGTTCAGTTTAGTTTGTGACATTTCAGAGAGTATTTGCTAGTTTTACAAATTGGTCTTCCTGCCGGCCATAAGGATGATCCATGAGCCATAGACATCTGTTTCATCTCTCATTGATCCAAAGAAGCACCGGTTTGCACCATTCAAAACATCCCTACACACATCTGTCCGCTTCATGAATACTCATCCACCATGCAGTCACACACACTGACCTGCATCTCCTTGTCTCCATACTTGGAGGGGTGCTTGCTGCCCTGGCTCTTTCTGCGCAGTTTTTTCAGCTCCGCCTGGCACTTCTCCAAACTCTCCCCTTTGCTCTTGTGCTCCGTCTGGTACTTCTTCAGCGCGGCCTGAGGGAGGCAGCACACAGTCAGCAGGACAGTCATGTGTCAGCATCCACAGAAGATGTATAACACTGATGGACATACAATCATAGCAGGCTGGCCTGACAGGTGGTCAGCTTCTGTTTTATTGACCGGTGTGTAATGGAAGCTGGAGGATGGTACTTTGGGATTACGCTTTAGTTATAGCCCCTCCTTTGTTCTGGCTGTTTTTAGAGCATCACAGAATGAATTGGGTACAGAAATGTGGTACAGGTGACAACTTTTTTACGCTGCCCCAAGCAAAAACAAATCATTAGCTGAAGGTTTTAAAGAGGCCTTATTATGCTTTTTGGAGTTTTCTCTTTCCTGTAGTGTGTTGTAAATGGTCTGCAAAGGCTAAAATCCCAAAGTTCCCTCCAGAGGGAGTTTCTCTCCCACACACTCTATCTTATAAATCTGCTTTTTATGTCCATACTTTGCATCCTGCATTGTGAAAAAAAGCACAAACTAACAAAGTATGTGTGCTGCATGTGTTTGTACACTATAACGTATTTGACCAACATGAACAAGTACAAATCAAATGTTAAACGGGTCATTAAATGTCTCTAGAGCTGATTTGCATTTGGATATATCAGAATTTCAGACCATTAAACTCAGAATGACAGTCATTGTAGAACGATCCAAACATACACGTCTAAAATGATTCAATGTTTCTGGGAGTATTTCCAAACTACTGATCACCATAAATGAACAAGCCTATTTTTTTGTAATGCAAAATGCCTCATTTTCACAGAATGAGTCATAATTCACAGTGGAGTGGGAAGTCATTTATGTAACTTTCTGCAGTGGTTTGGATAAAAGCCGGTGGGAAATTAGGGAGAGAGTGCGCATTTTGTTTCTGATTTCATGAGAAGATGTTCGGGCACTTGTTTGGGCAATCTATAATGTCTTAAGAAGCACCATAGACGTACAAAATACCTGGTTTCAGAACTGTGTAGTGAATTCAGAATTAAACGGACATTAGACCTGAGACTGGTCAAATGGTATTCTAAAATATTTTTTAAATGTTCTTGTTTTTTAATTCTTCAACAAAAGTAATAAATAGCAGGGATCAACTGTGGAGCAATTGTGGCATAGCGCCATCTCCTGGAAGGTCAAGTGTGTTCAGTTTCCGTGGTACAGAAAAAAGTTTAAGGAAACTCATTTCAACTCCTTTTACCAAGTTATATGTTATAGAAAAAGAAAAGTTGAACTGAAATGAATTCAAGGTATTTTTTATTCTATTTTTTAACCATTCAAAATAGTTTTAGTATTCGTTAAAGGATATCATTGTTTTATTTTGTTATGATCATATTTTTTTATATTATTTTTTAAGAGTTTTATTTGACTCGAACAACACTGATAACAGCTTAATCATGTGGTGTTTCTGTAATAGTGAGACATCAGAAAGGGATTCTCACGTTCAGGTAGCGAGCGTCCAGCTCCACCTTCTTCTCCAGCTCTGTGAGCAGCTCGTTGTGGAAAGACTTCAGCTGTAAGACACACAGAGACACAGAAACCTCAGAACAATACCACAAACACATTGAACCTCAAGTGGTTCAATTATGCTAAACCACAGTGCATTATTAAAAAAAGGAGGGCGACATTGCAGTGATGTTTCGCAAGAAGGACTGGAAGGGATGTCTTTGTCTTACTGTCGGAAATGTCGCACCCAAACGATTAGGGGAGGATGTCTGGTATGTGAAAGCAGGCCAAAGTCAATTTGCTATCTCAGCACGTTTAGTATGTGTGGTCGGGTTGAGCAAAGCTGAATACATGTAAGTGGTGAAATATTACAAAAAGAAACTGCAAATGCTAATAAAAGTATTTTATATATTTCAATTGTTAGAGTATAGCAATCTATTAGCCCACTAAGGAACCTCTTTGTCTCGCCCTTATCCTCCATGTTGGGAGATGTCATATGTTATAACTACTATCAGCAGGATACTTGCTAAAAAAGCAGGAACTCTGTGCAATAGAGAGAGCATCCGATCCGGTTACTTTCCCTCCACATCATGTAGAGGTGAAAACACTCGCTGTCTTTTGACTGGCCGTAAAACTGATGATAGGGTTTGAGCTAATCACATAAAAACATTTAACAATACCGTGCATTTCTTTATCTACAAGGACCCCAACTACGATGTTCAGTCAGGCAAACAATTAAACAATGTCTCTGGAAATCGTTGATCTGCGTCAATATATAGTTATGGCGGAGGCGGTTGATGTTACGAATATGGAAATAAGCAGACCGAATGACATTAGTGATGTGAGTTTTGAAAGAAAGTGTGCTGTCGAAGATGACACCCTTATCACACTTATCTAAGAGTTCTGAACAGCGTTACAAAAGTTAGAATTGTATTGCCTAATGTCACGATTGCACTCAATCCCAATGTCCCTGTAAAAGAGATAAGCATCTGCTCGGTGCCCAATTTGTAAATGATACTGCTCTGCATAATGGTGGCCTTGGATCATTGAAATCCATTACCCAAAAAGAGCATCTTCTCTGCTAATGTTTCCACAATTGGCCAATTTACTCAAATTAAATCTTTTGGGGGACTGACATGAAAAGTGTTTCCAGTCTGTAATGGCTGTAATTTACATATAAGATCAGTAAACGTGTTATTAAGTGAAACTGCTGCCTTCAGAAAATAGAAGTAGCCTACGTAAGAGTTTGTTTATTAAATATCAAAATAATGTGGAGGCTCCAAAGAGAGGCCCACAATCTGTTTGGCTCGCAACTGGTGGCTTAAGAAAGTGCTGATTTTAGCACCACCGCCACCACATGCTCACCATCTCCTCGAGCTGGATCTGGATCTGTCGGTGCACTTCAGCCATCTGAAAGAGCACCTCCCCTGCAGAGAGAAGACACAGAAAAGAAAGACGAGAAACAAAGAAAGAAAGGGAGGGGAGGGGAGAGAGAGAAACTGGGTTATTAAATCTTTCCAAATGATGTAAGAGCTACATAAATCGTGCAAAAATAAAAACACCATGCAGCAACACGGAACAGATGTGAGACAGGTGTTGGGAGTCGAGGGAGGAGGAGGAGGAGGAGGAGGAGGAGGAGGAGGAGGAGGAGATGGACAAGATGAAACAACAGTCATAACACTGACGGAACGTAACAAACTCAAAAGAACAGCGCAGACAGAATTATGAAAAATCAAAAAGCCAATCAAGCAATCTATTGATGGAGGTTTTCCAGAAGAGCTTCCAACACTACTGCCAATAAACACACAAGAGCAAAATAAAAACAAATCTAAAAATCAGGTATTTCATCTGAGTCTTATGCAACAACAAAAGAAAAGAAAACAGCAAAACATAAATAAAAGCTAAAAGAATAAGAGCATGAATCATGCAGCCAAGGAGGTGCGTGTCGTTTTAAGATACCTACATGCTGCCTCCTCTGAATATGCAATGCGTTGTAAAAAACAAAAGGAACAAAAAGATCGAGTTTGAGCAAAGAACAGAGGGAGAAGAGACCTGGAGAGACAGTGACAGATCACACTACCCCAGGAGTAATGAGACACACAACAGGTTGTCACACAGAGAAACAAACAGACAGGCAGTTAGTCAGACCCCTGTTTACACCGGCTGCTGGATGACAGATCATACGGGGGGTTCTGGGTTCATGTTTTTACATAAACACATTTTAGAAGAAATATCTCAAATTGGTTCAAAAGCTACAGTACATGGGTTTAACTTGATCAATATTCATGTTGGCCAATATGAAATTGCAACACAGAAATGTGATGGATATGTTTAAAAGTCATTTTATATCACCATTAATTTGTCCATCAAAGAGTACAACGTTAATTTGTACACTGTAAAATGCACATTACATCACTTGACCCTGATTCTTACTATTATGAATGTATTTTATTTTAGTTGTGTTTATGACACCACCTTTTGGTCAGTGTACCATTATAAAAGCTTCTATTCGTATAAGATACTTCATAATTAAACAAATAAATAAATATAGGTGATAACACTTAAAATATTAATATATAGAATGCAAATAAAACGTAATATTTATTACACTTAAATAAAGAAAATAAGGCTTATGCATAAAAACACATTTTCTTATTCCAATATACTTGCAATCTCTTATTGTACATCTACCAAACTATGGACATGATATTGCTCTATATATATCAACCAGGCACCAATACATGTAGAATAAGTGTATACATTGGCATTGAGGCCACAGTTAAACACTATGCAGCTGCAGCTTAAAGCACTGAGAGACAATTTATTCCAGACGAGCCGACTGATAAGCATTAACGGCACTCATCTGCCTCCAGCATAATGTATGCTCATATCAGGTAATGTATAGAGCTGACATGAAGGAGCACTGAGCGGGGTGTGGGGGAGTTCCGTGGGGGTGTGGCGTTGTGGGTGGTCCAGTGGACAGACAGCGGACAGAGGACAGTCAGCGGGGAGACAGAGAGAGTGGGCAGGAACCGGATTAAATGGCTTAATGGAAGTGCTGCGGTCATGCAGACAAGACTCAGTTGAAGTAGAAGGGATTAAGAAAAGGTCAGAGCAGGAGGTAGGTGGCACAGGTGGGAAGGAAATAAGTGAATATTCAAGTACTGCACTTAAGACTAAGGGGATATATTAGTTATTTCTTAAGAACACAAGGAGATACAGACATGTGAAACGGATTTGTTCGTTCATACTTAACCGAGGTGACGGAACACCAACCCAAGACTTTTGATTGTGTTTAATCAAAATCATTCTTTTGCAATATTATGTTAAAAAATGTTGTCCGATAAAAAGGAAAAAAGTTTAGACTGAGATGGAATCGCTCACACTACTTCATACATTTGCAAAGCGGAAACATGTTCTGACAAGTACGTTTGAACCAAATGTTACATTAGGGATGGAACAACAAATGTGGCAAGAAAACATCTCACCCTTAATGCGACACAAAACAAAGTGACAACCGAACGATTTTGTCAGCCTTCAACTCATGATTGAGTCCGTGATCTCTGAAGTCTTCTTTACGAAAAAACTTTGTTCGGCTTCATGAAAAAAAACCTCAGCAATAGGAGACTTTATTGAGGTAAAATAGCTGCCCTTTACCTTCCCACAGCAACACAGATGTCACATATACCAATGGCATACAAGGCATTTTTGTCCAGTCAATGCTAACGCTCCAAAAACACATCACACAAGCAGCCCCCGCCAATCTGCTTATTAAAATGCAGTCGCAGCGATAACACTGTAGAAGTGTTGGAGTGCCGCAGGACAGGGCATTAGGAGTAGTGAGGCAGATAAATGCACTGCGTATACTTTCAAATTCTCCTTTGATTCTTGGAGGGCGCCCAAACACACTCCATTCCAGCCATTAATAAACAGCCACCGGGCATCCACCAGCTATGGCAACTGGGCTGAACTCAGGCACCTCCATCACACACACACAAGGATTTACTACTCTTTATATCTCGGAATATTTTTCACTAAATATTAGCAGGCTTTGTCCAAATAGAAAAGGAACGTTGTAACTCTGAAGGTGAAAACTACTACTCATGCCAAAATAAGACCGTTAGACCGTCAAAATCCCCCATGATACAGATACATGATCTGATCTCATACACATGAATGATGAACCATACGAATATTCTCATTACTTGCTAATCTGTTAATAATGTTCTCGATTAATTGTGTGGTTTATATAAAAATAAAAATAAATGAAGTACATCCCAGATCCATAAAGTCCAAATTCCAGGGTACATTAGTAAAAAGCCCAAAGATATTCATGGGGTTACCTTCCCTGCTAGCTTGCACTGCTACATACCGCTGTTATCCGATTCGTCCGCCTGGAAAGGTCAGCGCTACCGAGGTCAGAGTTGAAATCATTTGAACTTTGCACATAGCACACGGCAACAATTTCGCTCTCTCCATAGAAACTCAACAGCAACGTCAGCGCAGAGCCGATTTTTACCACGTATCATACAATTGCGGCTTAAAGTGCACCTATCATGCTATTTTTAGGCATATATTATGGGTCTATGACGTGTTTTTCTCAAAATACAAACAGATCATGCATTTTAGACATCCCTTATACCCCTCTTTTGCAGCCCTGTTAGAGAAACGCGGATTTTGTGTCCTTAGCTTGAAAAAAAAAAAAAGAGGAGGCGGAGCTAATGCCTGATCAGAATTCTACCGGAGATAAAGTTACATTCTGCTGTGATAAAACGCCATCCTGTTCTAAACCACATCAAGGATTATTTCTGAAACAGTATGGAGCTCAAATGCTTTTTCTCTCTCAGGTTTATCACAAGGTGAGTTCCTTTTTTTATTTCCTGCTCTTTAAACACATGTGCTCTACAGTACAGGTTAGCTCTGAGTGTTAGCGAGGCTTGCTAATGTAAAAAAATACCATTACGTCCAAAACACGTCAGGCATTGTTTCTGATAGCAACTCTCTGTGGGTCCACCATCCGAAATTACGTAATATCGGCAGCAAATCTGTATCCGCTCGTTGTACCCCCATTTTTAAAAGATGTGGGTGCGGAGGAAAAGAGAAAGGGTTTTATTTTCTGACGCTGCGTGAGTTCCCCCGACACACCGGGGACACATATTTATGTATAAAAGACATCAAAAAGTGCATTTTGCATGATTGGTCCCCTTTAATTAATTGTCCAAAAAAATGTGTCTTCATCATTGAAGCTCTCCTTGTAAGGGTCGGTATAGGTAAAGAGCATTTGATTTTGGGTAGCTGGTGCTTTAAAAATATTGCATTAGACGCTTTCTTATGTGCAACTACCAATGCAAAACAAAATCAGAAAAATTAAGTTGAAAAAACACAGGTTTTTGAAAGGTTAAATAATGATGACTTCATTGTTCACTTCTCAAACACTTACAGTAGGGTTAACCCTAACCCTTGCACTCCAAAGACCAGTTACTGTACAGAGGGAAAATGTCTGCCAAGGTGTTACCATTCAGCTGGTAATAATATATTTAACTCAGATTAACTACACCTCCTGCTTCCATAAAATGGAGCCTTGGTCATTATTTCTGGCTTTCCTAACAAATGTGTTCCGTCTATAATCTAATTAAAGGGTATCCCTCATTGATCCCGATGGGGAAACCGTCTTGTATTTGTTCTTTGGCTGGTCAGGGTTCAGCTACAGAACAGCACTCTGGGAGCCCCAGCACCTCATCACTTCACACTTGAGTGGAGCAGATGGTCAATCAGAGGTCACCCTGCCAACCACTGTGCAGCCAATGAAATGTGGTCTTCCCAATGAGAAATGTTGTCGTATTAAAACATTCAGCAGTTAGTGTGGTGCAGTACCCCGTTAGAGATGATGGTCAAAGCTACAGATAAAAGATCCAAGCTGTAATGAATCTGAATTATCCTTTGAAATGAATACTTATAGAGGAGATACTGGTGTAAACGACAAATAGGTATCAGATCAGTGTAACTTTAACATCATCTGGAAGATCCCCAACATCCTGGATGTACTCGTTTCATTGCACCCAGCTAATCCAAAAAGCCTTCCACCTTGTATTGTGAAATACAGGACTTCAACCCACCAGAACTAAGCTGCTTACTGGTAATCAGAGCATATCACAATACTTGAGGCTTAGAGGGGAGGAATTCACATTGTTTTCCGGACCCATGTCAAGTGATTCCGAAAGGCTGTAGAATACGAAAGACTCTTGAAAATAGATAGCAAAGCATCCCTACAACAACTGCAAGCTTGATAAAAATATAGTCCCTATTGGTGTCTTACCCAATGCATGTCAGACTATTTAATGCCAGTGTACAACATAAACAAAATGCATTATTTGAATTGAATGCATGACCATTTCACCTGGCAAACTAAATGCAATTATCCATTTTTTCTAATACCTACAAGATCCATCAATACGGTGGTTTACAGAACATGTCAGGAGAAATTAGGTAAGCACATTTCAGAACACGGCTCACAGAGTTCATTTTGACAATTAAGCCTTGTGCATTAACCCCGGTAAACCCAAATGGGTTAGAGGTCATTCTCGAGAAAAAAACCTGGACTTTGAATTGACACCTTATGTAACCTCAACAACAAGTGGAGGCTGAGCAGTTCTGACTGCAGGGCGAGAGCAGGTACAAAACTCAGAAAAGCTAACTCGAGGGCAGCGCTCACATCTTGGGTTTATTACCAAGGCTTCTCTCCATATGACCCCTGGGCTCAACACTGGCAGACGTAGAGACAAAAAGAGAGGAAGTGTGTACTGCCATGACGGTGTTTTATGTAGCGGGCGCCTCTAAAGGGACCGTGTTATAGGAGCCTGAAAGCAAACACAAACAGCTCTAATCCCCAGAAAGCTGCAGAGTACAGAGTACAAGGTGCTGCAGGGAGATTTGTCCTGCTGAAAGGCACATGATTGACGCTGTAATTGTTGTGCT